TTAGGCAGGTGGATAGATAAGGAAAAACAGAATCGATAAGGTAGTGAGATGGCGAGCTGTTGGTAGGGTACGATATCGGGGAGTGGGACGGAGGGAGATGGCAAGAAGGTGAAGGGGGGGAGTCGGAGAAAGAGGGAGCGCTGGACGAGACGCAATATAAATCGACAGCGGGGACAATGGACGGGTGGGATTCGTCTGATGCGGAGGTGCTCAAGTTGAATAAGAGGAGGGGGCGGTTGAGCAGCGCGCAGAGGCTATTGAGGGGAAAAATAGAACGGGCGAAGCGGAGAAAAAGGACAGAGCCAGTGCATGAGCTATTTTGTGCGAGGAGTTTGGAGAAGGAGGGAGATTGGGTGGGTGATGCAGATAGGAGGGGAGAGGAGCCTGAAAAAACGAAAAGAAACGAAAGTAATTCGGAGGGGGAGGAGGAACAGGAAGAAGAGGAGGGTAATAAGAAAAGAAAAGGGGATGTAGGAAGTCGAGAGAAAGGGGGATTAGATAGGATAGATAGGCTGGAGGCGTTATTGGAGAGTTTCAAGGATGTGACTCTTGCAGCGCTTAAGGAAGTGACAACGGATGGGAGAGAGATGAAGGAAGGAATTCATAAAATTAAGGAAAGCTGGGATAGTTGGCAGGGAAAGTGGTAAAATCTGGGAAAAATTCGATGAGATAGGAAAAAAGTTAGATAAGGCGAAGGTAGATAGGAGGGGGGAGAAGAGGGAAGTTAGGAGCAGATTAGAGAAATTGGAGGAAAAGGTAGAGAAGGTAGACAAAATTGAGGAGAGGGTAAAGGGCCTGAATAGGGGAACGGGGAGCAGAGGTAGAGAGAGAGGAGAGGGATGTTGTGGGATAGGAGAAAACTTGGAGAGAAAGCTTAGGGACCTGGAGTGGAGGGAGGAGAAAATGGAAAGGGAGAAAAAGAAAAGCAATATGGTAATTAGGAGGATGAAGATAGATAGAGGTAAGGAAAGAGAGGAGGTAGAAAAGCTAATGAGAGAAGTGTTGGAAGTAGAAATACAGATCAAATGGGTAAGAAAGATAGGGAACAGGGATAGGGATGGAGGGGAAGCAGTGGTAGTAAGCCTGAAAGATGAGGGGGAGAAGAGGAAAGTTTTTGAGAAGCGAAAGAAGCTGAGAGGAAGGAAGGAAATATTAGAGAACGACTTGACCTTTAAAGAAAGGAAAATATAGTCGGAACTCGATAGGATTGCGGACATTGCGGTTGGATGGGGTGTAGAAGTAGGAGTAGGAAGAGGAAGAATATGGTTGAATGGAAAACTGTGGGTCTGGGACGAGAGGTCAATGAAGCTCAGGAATGAAGCGGCAGAGGAATGGATGGAGGGAATAAGGAGGGAGGTAAGAGAGAGGAGAAATGGGACGGAAAAGGGGGGTAGGGCTGATGAGGAGCAGAGGGTGATGGAGGTAGATCAGGAGCAGAGGGGGGAATAAAAGTCAGGTTAGAAAGAGTAGGCGGGGAAAAGAGGAGGAGAAGGAGGTAAGGAAGAAGGTATCGTTCTGGAACGTGGCGGGTATAAAGAGGAAGGACCCAGATTTCTGGAGGAGGTTGAAGGAGTGGGATGCAGTAGTTTTGATTGAAACGTGGTTAGACAAGAAGGGATGGGAGGGAGTTACGAGGAGGGCTCCAGAGGATTTTAGGTGGAGAATACAGGTAGGCAAGAGAGATAAGAAGAAAGGAAGATGGATGGGAGGCCTGATGATGGGGGTTAGGAAAGAACTATGTAGGGAGGAGTGGGGTGGGATTGAGACAATAGAGAGTGGGAGGGAGGGGTGGATTGAGGGAAGAATGATACTGGGAGGAGACAGGTGGAGGGTTATAGGGGTATGCCTGAATGATAATTGTGCAAGTTAATTTAGATATGGTGAAGGAGGTAATGGAAGAACAAGCAGAAGAGTTGGTAGTTATTGTGGGGGATTTTAATATGAAGACAGGATACAAGAGTGGAGCAGGGGAGGGGTTAGGGAAGGAGGGAAGAGGCACAAGGAACTCATTGGATGGGAGAGAGGCATGTAGAGGAGGGAGAGCTCTGATAAATATTCTGGAAGAGACAGTGTGGTCAATTATGAATGGTAATTGTGAGGGAGATGAAAGAGGAGAATACACTTTCGAAAGGGCAGGGAGTAGATCGGTTATCGACTATGTAATAGCAGAAGAAGGGGGGAGAAGGAAGATAGATAGGCTAGAGATAGGAAAAGTGTAACTCAGACCTCTTCCCGCTAGTGATCACGGTGAGGAGTGAAGGGGGAACGGAGCAGACTGGGGAGAAAAGGAAAGGGAAGGTGAAAACGATAAAAATCAAGAACTGGGAAAGGGAGAAAAGGGAAGAACTTAAAAGGAGGTTAGAGAGCGTGAATTGGGGGACGGAGGGGAGTGTGAATGAGTCACTAGCGGAGATTAGGGAGAAGGTGAAAGGTATTAAAGAGGAAATAGAAGGAGAATGAGATAGGAAAAAAATGGGGTGAGGAGACTGGTGGGATAAGGAGTGTAAGGAGAGGAAAAAAGAGGTGAGTCAGGCGCTGAGGAAAGCGAAGAAGGGTAAGGGGGAGTGAGATGAATATAGAGAAAAGAAGAGAGCATATAGTAGAATCTGTGATGAAAAGAGGGAGGGAGAGCTCAGAAAGTTCGAAATAGAAGTGGAGAAGGCGATAGAGGAAGGTAGGGTATGGGAGGTGATCAACAGAGAAAGGAAAGTATGGAAAGGAATTAACCAGGATATTGATTTGAAGGAATGGAAGGATTATTTTATGAGACTGCTAGGAGGAGTAGAGGGGAGAGTAAGAGGGCAGGAAAGAAGGCTGATAGAGGAGGAGGAGGAAGAGGGACTAACCCAGGAGGAAATAGACGAGGCGATAAAGAAACTGAAGGGAAACAAAGCTGCGGGGGAAGATGAAATAGAGAATGAGATATGGAAGGAAGGAGGGGAGGGAATGAGACGGGCAGCGTGGAGGGTATGTAACAGGGTATGGAGAGGGGAGAGATGGCCGGAAGAGTGGAAAGAAGGATTGTTAGCCCCAATAATCAAAACGGGAAAGGGAAGAAGGGTAGAGGAATACAGGGGGTAACGCTAATGCATACCCTGTATAAGGTGTATGCAGCAGCGTTGACGAGAAGGTTGGAGGTAGAAGTGGAAAAGGGAAAAATGGTGCCGGACAATCAGACGGGTTTTAGGAAGGGCATGGGCACGACAGACAACATCTATGTGCTCAATTATCTGGTGAATAGGCAGTTAGCTCGGGAAGGAGGAAAATTGATAGTGTTTTTCGTGGACCTAAAAGCAGCGTTTGATTCAGTTGATAGGAAAGTGTTATGGGAAGCAATGGAGGAGAGGGGCATGTCGAAAGGACTCATAGAAAAAATTAAGGAGATATATGAGAAAACGGCGAATAAGGTGAGGGTGAGAGACAAGGTGACGGAAAAATTTTGGACAACGAGAGGGGTGAGGCAGGGGTGTCTGCTAAACCCCATCCTGTTTAATATTTTACTGGCGGACCTAGAGGAGTTTATGAGAGAAAAGTGGAAAGGGGTAGTAGGATTAGGAAAAACGAAAATATTCTCGTTGGCGTAAGCGGATGATATGGTGGTGCTCGCCGAGGAGGAGGCGCGGATAATCATGAGACGGAGGAATATATAAGGAGCAAGGATCTCACGATAAATGTTGGAAAGTCTAAAATGATGGTTTTTAAGGAGAGAGCAAAAGGACAGAAGGGGAAGTGAAAAATGGGAGGAAAGGAGGTAGAGGAAGTGAAGGGATTTTGCTATTTGGGGTATTGGCTTAGCAGTACAGGGGGGCAGTCGAAGCAGGTGAAGGAAAGATTAGCGAAGGAAGGAAAGGTGATGAGTACAGTGTAGGGTATGGGAAAGAGGAGATTCAGGAAGGATTGGGAGAGACGAGTGTGGTTATTCGATACGTTGATATGGTCAGTGATGGGATACGGTGCTGAGATATGGGGCTGGGAAGGGCGGGAGGGAATGGAGAGGATGCACGAAAGATATTTGAAGTGGGTGTGTGAGCTGAGAAGATCTACACCAGGTTATCTGATAAGAGAGTAAGTGAAGAGGGACAAATTAGTGGTTAAGGCGGCGAAAAGAGCAGGGAGGTTCAAGGAAAAGCTAAGAAGGGGGAGGGGAGTGAGATTGCGCGGCGGTGCATGAAGGAAATCGAGGATAGAGAGGTGAAGAGAGAAATCTCAAGGTGGGAGGAAGGTAGTAGAAGATTTAGGGAGGAGCGAGGACTGAATGCAGTAGGAGAGGAAAGAGCGGGGGGAAGGGAAGAGAAGGAGAGCTTTGATCAGGTGGAGGAGATAGAGAGGGAGAGGCAAGCTAGGGAGAGAAGGGAGAAGATAATAGGTTATGAAGGGAATCCATGGTATAGAGGAGTGGCTATAGAGGGTATTCCAGGGTATTTAGAGAATAGTTGGGGGGAGGAAAGATGGAATAGGGTGGCAAGGTTTAGGCTTGGGGAAGGAATGAGAGGAGAAAAGAAATGGGAGAAGGACGAGGCGAATAGGTGCAGGCGCTGCGGAAACGGGAGGGAAATATGGAGACATGTATTAGAAGAATGTGGGGAGGAAGATAGGAGCGGGAGGGATATATGGGAAAGGGTGGGGGTGATTTTGGACGAGAAGGGGCTAGGGGAAAAGTGGATGGTAGATCGGGAGAAAGTTGGGCGGGAGGGAAAAGAAGGGGGAGGAGGGAGGGGAAAGGAGAGAAGGTGAGAGGGGTGAGGGGCAGCTTCGTTTCGTTCGAGGGCAAGGGAGGAAAGTAGAATCAGCATGTGAAGGCAGCTCATATGGAGACGGGAAACGGGGGTCCCTCTCACTTGTCCCCTTGTGACTCACTGTGTAACTGTCTCAGGTATGGATCTCGAGTACGAAGTAAAGTATAAGCTATAAATAATTGTAAATAGTTTAAGTAAGAAAATAAGAAGTAGGATAAGTTAGTGAGTGAGGAAAATGGAGGAAGATTATGTAGCAGGAGCGTATTATAGATATAAGAAACGGAAGTCCTTGTAACCCTCAGGGGAATCAATAAAGATACATATATATAGAAGAATAGTGCACCTATCGATGTACATTCTCGTATGAATCTTTTTCGTCGTCATCAGTTTTTTGACCAAACCCAGCAATTCATTGTGTCCCGCGTAACTTGTAAGAGACCCTTCTCGAAAATCCGATGAATCAAATGCAGTGTATAAGACGAGATGAAAAAGTGCGCCAAATGCATGCGTTGATTTGAGAGTATACTTGTTCCCGTCTTTCGCAATGCCTTGGAGCTCTAGATCATCTCCATGCCGTAACAAAGGTAGTGTATCTACAGATTTTTGAGGATCAAAGGAATTAGGTTTATGGGTGGAACGAAAATAATATCCACCGTAGTAGTTGAGTAATGCTGATTCTGGCGCAATGTTTTTGGCGTCGACCTGGTCGTTGGGCCCAGTAGGGGGGTCAGATGAAAGTGGGTGGGTAGGTGGTTGATTAATTTGCGAGGTCACGGTTTAATTCGCGGTTTGATTCGCGGGGTCGCGGTTTAATTCGCGGTTTAATTCGCGGTTTGATTAATTAATTCGCGGTTTTGCCCTCGAAGTGATGATAGTGTTGATTAATTCGCGCGGTCGCGGTTTAATTCGCGGTTTGATTAATTAATTCGCGGTTTTTCCCCTCGAAGTGATGAAAGGGTTGATTAATTTGTCGGGTCACGGTTTAATTCGCGGTTTGATTAATTAATTCGCGATTTTTTCCCTCAAAGTTATGAAAGGGTTATTTAATTGCTTGGTTAATCAATTTAATTCGCGATTTTGCGTTACAAAGGACCTTCTCGGTGACCTAGTCAATCCACCCCGCGAGGGGGAGAGTGAAGGGGTTAATTAATTCGCAGGTCGCGGTTTGATTCGCAGATTAATTCCGCAAATCACGGCTAAATTCGAGGATCGATTAATTAATTAATCAACTAGTATACCCGAACTTCTCAGTACACTACCGCGAGGGGTGAAAGGGTTGACTAATTCGCTGCTGTAGAAATCATAGAAGGGGCTCCTCTTCTTCTTCTTCAAACATTGACACCTGGCTCCACTTGACATTTTCCAGACATGTCTGAACCTGAGTTTTCCGGTTCTTTCTCGTTTGCCGCCTCCATTCGTGTGAAATTGTTGTTGATAACGATATCAATATGTGAATATTTATTGTGAAAAGAAGGCTTCAGAAGGGGAGGGAGTAAGTATATCTGCAAAGGCAGAGGATCGGTCATTCAAAAACTTAGGTACCCCCACCAATTTGGCATAGTCCTCGACAAATTTTACACGTCGTAGTAGGAGGAGTTTCCGAAAAATCTCCATCTGCTGCAAACTGATAAGAATGGAAATGCATTGGAAGAAGTACGAACGCAATCTTTTGTTTACATAGACTTTTTCGGGTTACCTGGGAACGCACGTTGTACTCACAACCCTAAGAACATGATGTTTGACAAACTGGAGCAGAGTTTTCGGACCCTTTGATGTCCTAACGCACCGCAAAGATTAAATGTTATCCTGGACATTTTTCAGATATTTTTTTTTCCCACGAACAAAAAATGTTGCTATTTTGTTAATAATTTTCCATGAGTCACATGATTCTTTTTCAACCAATCACGTAAGATGTTACAGAGTGTACAAGCGTAGGCACATTCATATATGTATCTATATAAACAAATTTCACCTTGATTTTCCACCAGCTCTTTAGTGTCTTTATCATGAACAACATGGATCCTAACGCGTGTAAAAGATTATTGAGGTCATTGGAGGATGCGTATGAAATACTGAAAACAAATAAGAGACCCAGGGAAATTCAACAATGGCTTAATCACATCAGAGGACATTCGAAATAAATGAATGCATTATTGAAGAAGAGTGCGAGTCATAGTGAAACATGTTGTCGTGAACGTTTAAAATAAAGACGATGCCTACTGCTTCTTATGGTCCATTATGGCCGCTCGCTGTAACGTTCAAGACAAGAAACGACCTAACTCATACCCAGCTTTCAGCACTGTTATGAAAAGATTTGGTAATTTCAAATACCCCATGGCATTAAAAGACATTCCCAAGTTCGAGAAAATGAATGAATTGTCGATTAATGTATATGGAATCGACAGTGACGAAGAATCAGCGAAAAAATGGATTGTGCCCCTTTATTTGAGCAAAAATTTTCCAGCCACACTGCAAGAGGAAGAAAGAACAATTCACGATGGTGAACAGGAAAGAGTTCATCACTATACATGGATCTCGAATTTGTCTCGTTTAGTTGGTACCCAAATTTCAAAAGTTAAACGTAAAACACTCATATGCGACAGATGTTCGTGTCACTTTTTCAAAAAAAGAGGCCTACACTAATCACAGGGTTGATTGTGTATCAATCAATAAGTGTCGAATGATTTTTCCTCATCGTGATGAAAAATATTCAAAATTTCAAAATTTCAAAAATCAACTGACTATTCCATTTGTTGTATACGCTGATACTGAGCGTTTATTGGAAAAAGTGTCCGATGACAATGACGTAAATACCAAAATATACCAAAATCGTGTACCATTCAGTGTTGCATTTTATGTGAAATGTAGCTATGATAACTCAAAATCGGAACTCTCTATTTATCGTGGAAAAGACTGTGTAGAGTGGTTTATTGAGCAGCTACGTATTTTAGCTATAAAAATTGATGCTGAATTACAGAGAAATGAGCCTATGAACTTGACTTTCGAGATGGAGCGAGCCTATAATGCAGCTAAAACATGTCATATTTGTGGCAGGGCATTCACCGAAAAAGTAGTGAAACATCGGGACCATTACCACTTCACGGAAAAAAATCGCGGAGCAGCTCATCCCGGTTGTAACCTGAATTACACAGAATCATGTGTAATCCCTGTAGTTTTCCACAATTTGTCAGGTTATGACTCGCACTTTTTGATTGAGTCCCTTGCGAGACAATTCGAGGGCTCTGTGACAATACTCCCAATTAACAAAGAGAAATACTTTTTTTTTTACGAAATCAGTTGAATCAACAGGAGTCCACTTGAGATTAATTGACTCATATCGTTTTATACTAAGCAGTATCGATAAACTTTCTTCATATTTAGAAGATGAAAAAAAAAAATCACAGCCCGTCATTACCCTCAAAAACGACAATTCGAACTGGTTGTACGCAAAGGAGTTTTCCCATACGAATAATTGGATACCTGGGAAAAATTAAGTGTACAACAATTACCACGGAAAGAAGAGTTTTATTCTCGACTGAATGATGAGTACATATCCGATAAACATTACAACCATGCATGTGATGTGTGGAGAAATTTCAGTATCAGAACACTCGGTGAATATGCGGATTTATATCTGAAAACCGACGTATTGTTGCTAGCAGATATTTTCGAAAATTTTCGAGAGAGTTGTTTCACCGCTTACAACTTAGATCCTCTTCATTATTATACAAAACCAGGACTGGCTTTTGATGCAATGTTAAAAATCACTGGAGTTCAATTGGAATTATTTCAAGACCCTGAAATGTTCCTTTTCATTGAGAAAGGCATTAGAGGAGAACTGTCGCAGTGTTCAAACCGATACGGAAGGGCAAATAACCCCTACATGGGTTCTAATGAGTATAACCCAGAGGAAGAGAAATCATATTTGATGTATCTAGATGTGAATAACTTATATGGAGCAGCAATGAGTCATCATTTNAACTTGTGAAGGAGAAAGGGTGAGAAAATAAAAAAAGAATTTTTTTCGAAAAAATATTTCTTTATTCAATAAAAATTCCTCATTGATGTGTCTCCTTAATCCACCCAACGATTATACTACCGGTTCCATCTTCTTTTGTTACTGGATAATAGTGCAACAAGCCTAATAACGAATATGGGAATAGTGCTGTTGCTAAAAAAATATAGCAACGGATGATTGCTCATCTTTTTTACACTCATATAAGGACTTATCTAATTGTACATAATACTGTAGGAGATATTCAACGTATTTTTGCACCATCTGAGTAACATTGAGATATCTAGCAGTGATATATTTTGCTGATATTTCTACAAATGGCTGATATCCAATCATCGTTGCATATGGTGTGTAAGCCTCACATCCTGTCTTGACTTGAAGAATACCTGTGCCTGAGATATTCATTCCATCTCTCCACTCTCCTCCACATGAAAAATTCACCTCCTCTCTCTCGGGCACTGAGTATAGCCAGCCCTTTTCTGTTTGCTTCCAATATGACGCAAAGGTGGAACTCAGTTTGATACTACAATTAGCAAGTGGTGACATTTGTCTGCTGGTCATAAACATTGCACCCTGCTAAATTGGTTGAGAAGTAGCGTCATAGAATGGCTACTTTAGTTGGCAAATATACTGATAATCATTTGTGGTCAAGCATTCGGCAATCTCTTTAGAGTGTGCCAAGGTATGATGATATTAGCTAAGCAGCAGGTAGTCGCCCCGAGGTTGAATGTACGCTGANTGGGTGGAAATTTTTGTTGGATGGAAGATTGGTCATCCCTCAACATCCTGAACATTCCAGATGAATCAGAGACTGGATACATCCTGGAGGTTGACCTGGAGTACCCACAAGAATTCCATCAAGAGCATAAACGTATACCATTGTGCCCGGAACACATAATCTCTCCAAACGGTCAGGCAAAGTTACCAAAATTATTGACCACGTTGAACTCCAAAAAAAATTATGTCATTCATTATAAAAATCTCAAACAATATTGTAGTTTGGGCTTNCGTACAATTCCTATGTCTTTAACTTTAACTTTAGAGAGGGAAAACCAATGACTGATCCTGTCTCATTGCAATGAAATTATTATTGACAACACTTTCCAGTTNCGAAAATTTTTTTATATATTGATGAATAACGCGGTTTTCGGAAAAACAATGGATAATGTCAGGAAACATCGTGATGTGAAACTCGAATCAAGATGGGATGGACGATGGGGTGCTGAGAGTTGGATATCGAAACCCAACTTTCATAGTAGTATTATTTTCGATAAGGATTTGGTAATAATCCAAATGAGATGATTAGAATTAAATTTAATAAACCAATATACGTAGGCTTTAGGATTCTAGATATTTTTAAAACATATATTTATAATTTTCACCTTAATTATGTGAAGAAACTTTCAAGGATAGGGCAAAACTATTGTACACAGATACGGATAGTCTTATTTATCATTTCAGAGTAGAGGATATTTATGAAATTATGAAAAATGATATTGATAACTTCGACACTTCTGATTATCCAATAAATAATGTATGTAATATACCTCTAAAGAATAAGAAAAAATTAGGTGTAAT